GCGGGCTTCCCTTTGGAGCGTAGCTTTTCCGCGGCCAGGAGAAGACAAGGCGGTCCTTCTCCATCGCTGTGCGGGCTCGAGATTCTGAGTCCTCACCGCGAAGCCCTGCAGCTTGTGAACGAAGAAATATGTCTCACCTCATAATCTTGGGGCAATACCCCGATTGCATAGGTAGTTTGAGGGTCCAGGAAGATGTTGAGCCAGAACATGCTGCAGTTGGCCCTACCCTGCGAGACTCTCTGCCCGGCGATTGTTCGTGTCAGTGCTGCTGAATACGCCCCTCTCCGGCGTAACGATCGCAGAGGCAGTTGTGAGTGGTGGTGTTTTTCGTCGTTCGAGCAAAATGTCTGGAGGTGGACATATCAATAAACAAGGTAGCGCCGGAAGGTGTGCCGGAAGAATTTTTTTCGCGGAAGCTCGCGGAAGGGACGTGGTTGATTTGTTCTTGCCAGAAATACATTCGCTCTTGCTATAGAATTGCTGGCAGATCACGATCACGAATTCCCTCGCGCAAGCTGCCTTCCTCAGTTGCCGCGGAAGGCCCACGGAAGCACTTGTATAGAAACATGCTCGCGGAAGGTGCCTTCACACCGCGGAAACATGCGAAACCGTTGCCGAAGGTTTCGCGGAAGGGATCAAATTTAAAAGGAGTAATAGCCACCACTGATCGTGTCTTATGGATGGCACCCCGCAATCCCTTTAGCTCGCGTGTGGCATGACCTGCAAGAGCCAGGCGCGCCTTCTGAACGATGTTCTTCCGCGTTGCCACCATGACGCGTTTCCATGTAGCGATTGGAACGCGTGTGCGACGCGCAGCCGCACAGCTGGCAGTGGTCCAAGGCGGCTGGACCTGAGCGTTTGGGATGAGACAAGCCCGCGGCAAATCGCTGGAAGGACTGCGTAGCTGCAGCTTCACTTGCCACCATGACGCGTTTGCATGTAGCGATTGGAACGCGTGTGCGACGCGCAGCCGCACAGCTGGCAGTGGTCCAAGGCGGCTGGACCTGAGCGTGAAATTAGCGTGATTTAGCGTGAATGGCGGGTTCTGAGATTTCAAATTCATTGTCTGGACTGCATGGGCCTTGCTTTGTCTGAATGAACGCCACTGCAATGAGCACCACTATGTGGCGCAAAATAGCTAGCAACACTGTTTAGTACACGGTGATTCGAGCTTCGCATTTGCGCTTAAGTCGCAGGGAGCAGAAAGCTGCAGTTGAGTGCATTTCGGTAGGCTAAGTGAGAAACAGTCTTTCAGCTTGAATTCCACCAAACCGGATAGGATTGAGCGGGCTCCCTCAAGACCCGAAAAGCATTGAAAACAGAACGGCCCTTCCTGCGGGGTCCTTTGTCTGGCAGCCCTTCCCGGAAGGGCCTTTAGATACATTGGGACAAGCCCGCGGCAAATCGCTGGAAGGACTGCGTAGCTGCAGCTTCACAAAACGGCGGGGCCGGCTCTGCTAATTACATGCTTCAGCTTCTCTGGCCATTTTTGAAACTACCATGGTCTTTGACACGGTGCAGGGGCAGCACAAGCAGTTTTAACCACTTCCCCGTGAAAAATACCAAGTCCAGTGGAGGAACAGGCAAGTTGTTTTGCTGAGCGCCTGGCTGTGGCCCCAAGGCCCGTTTCATCCAGGAAAGCTGCTGCTCGGTTCAAAACATTGACCGCATTGCGCAACGTGTTCTCCAATGGAGCCTCAATTCCTTTGCGAAGCAGCATTCCAGTTGGCTGAGTTAACGCTCGAAGACTAAATAGCGCTCGTTTGCCCAAAAAACGCTCGCAAGCACAAAAAGCGTATCAAATAGCAGCTTTGCCGCGTGATTTCCATCATCGTACTAAACCCAACTTTTGAAGTGGCGCAGAGGCCGTGAAGGCGCCAGCCATGCAAACACGCGCTCTTTGATAGCGTGTAACGGCCCGCAGCCAAACCAGATCGGGGCCCGAGTCACAATGCCACGCCATTTCACAGGCTTTCTTCGGTTGAAGTTTGAGGCAGACGCAGAGGTGGTGTTTTCGGTTGAAGTTTCAGGACGCGGCTGCCTGCCCTTGGGCCCGGCTCAGCGTGTTCCGCCGGCGAAGTGCTCGGCCGTGAGCTGTAGCACGAGACTTTGAAAACGGCTTCGCGCTAGGCGGCAGCGCCGGCCACGCATGCCGGCCTTTAGTTTTAGGGGGACACGTCTCCCAGAAAACTGTGGAAGCAATACGAGCAGTATCGTATTGCTTCCGCAAAACTCCGGGAGCGATATGGTGAATCCCACATGTCTCCTGGACTCGCTGCCCGACGTTCCTTGTCAAGTTTTGTCTTGGTCAGAGGAACTTCCCTAAGGGTGCTGATGGATTTTGGGGCTCAACTCACTTGTTTGAGACTCTGAAGCAACTTGGAGACCCGCAGGTTCTGCCACGCCCCATAACCCTTAGGGTATTAAAGTAAGTCATCGTTTTGGCTGAAAAAAAGTCCTGGACATGCTGCCTCCGATGTTCAAAAGTTGGCCCGGGAAGATTGCCACTGTTGGCAAGGAGAGCCATTTCCAAGTGAATAAGTCGTCACGGGGATGATGCGCCTTTTTGCCACCGTGTTTGGCCCGCGCTTGGCGCAACTTGCGCTGCAGTCGCTGGCAGGCGTGTTCCAATGATATCAACAAACAAATGGCAAGGTGGGCGGCTCGGGTCAGGCCACTCGAGCATTTGACGCCGCGGCTTTGTACCTAAGGAGACCGCGTGATTGCAAAGCTTTGCCCCGATTGACCAAACTCCTTCACCACGATGTGAGCACGTGCTGCCAAATTCCCGCAATTCAACGACCAAGCAAACAAGTCATCGTAAATCAATGCCTCAGAGTATGGCGAGCTGGATGTTGAAGGGGGCTCTTGTTGTTTGGCTCCCCTGCAGACAGCGCCCACTCCGGAAAAGCTCCCCAAAGACTGCCAACTCCTTTGGGGCTTAGCTGTCTTAGCTTCGCCAAGCCCCCCGCCTATGACCTGGCGCAGCGCATAGTTCTTCCTGGTCTCTGAGCCGCTATGTCTGAGGTGCATGCGGCCAAAAGCCGGCCAGCCTTTGCCACGGCTGAAGTCAGAGAGCCCGTTGACGGGGGTCGCCGTAACGGGTTTGGAATTCAGGCAGTTTTAGGCCAGCCCAAAACACCACGGGTGACTCCTGTGGAACCATTTCCAATCCTTCACGAGCAGCTTGTTCTTTCAATGCAACCACTGCATGCTCTCCGTCACTCATCATGACCGCACGTCGATAGCCTGGGTGACGTAGGAAGTTCGCAAAGAACTTCACCGCAGAAGGTGTTCCAACTTTTGATTCAGGTCGTCTTCACCTCTGGCGAGCTCGACACTTCACTTGGCGGCCCTCAAAACGCGGGATGGCGCAAATGGGTGCGTTCCGGGGCAGTTTGGGGCAGGTTTGGTTTGTTGGTTGGCGCACAGCGCAACCTATCCTCGCCATCAAGGACAGCAAGGCGTTGTCGACTGCAGCCACGTTTGTAGATGCTAAGGGGCCCGCCCCTTAGCCAGCCTCGCTTCCGCACGAGGGGCAGAAGCAAGGCAAGTGGGCGCGGCAGCCATGCAAGGTTACACAAGCCTGCTTCGTCTTACTTTTGCTCCTCTGTCACGCCGAACGAAAAATTTGGGCCAATCCTGCAGGGGAAATCGTGCACACGGCTCTTGTGTAAGAATTCGAATTCTGGCAGCGCGCTGAGCGCTTGGCTTGTGGCCAGTGTCTAAACTTGTCTGAGACGGACGTGATGGCCACAGATTGTACCGGAGTTCTAAGCCAGAATTCGGCACTTCCCCGCGTTTTGCCCCAGCCAGCTTGCTTGCGCAAGACCACCCACCCGCTGCTTGGGACATTTAGAGTAAGGGTGCCACTGAACAACTAGCAACTGGGCATGCTTTCCAAGTGGTTCAGGGTTCTTGTGGGCTGTGCGCCTCACCTCGAGCAGCGATCGGTGGCCTTTTGACCGCCCCAAGCAAAGGATCGCAATTGAGAAGTCTCTGGCCCTCCTCTCAGAAGACAATCGACGTTTGAGCTTCCATGTTCTATCCAGTCAGGATCAGGGCCGTAGGATAAGACCGAAATTACCCAAGGCCAAACTTCAATCGGCTCTCCGCATCTGCAGCTGGAGCTATTGGCTCGATGGCTGAGGGGTTTGTTTGGCTTAAGCGACGCAAGCTTACCTCTTTAAGTGCTGGAGCGGCGCATCCAGGTTTAAGCGGCCCCTCTACCAGAAAAAAACCTGAAATCCAGCTGTATGCTGCAAGACCCTTCATGGGATGGGGGACCCCGACCAACTCATGTTGGCAGGTGTTGCGCTATTTGCTACGCATTCCCAACGGTGTTCTTAGCGCTTTGTCAGCATGGAAATAGGTTCGCCACGATCTTGACGAAGAGAGGCTGGAGTGGGCCTTGAAATGCAGCATGGAATCTCCCTGATGGTTGGGATGCAACATGCAGAACTGCAAAATGGCTCCTAGAATGACAATGCAGCAGCCCGTGAATTAACCAACCTCAGCTTCGCACTGCCAGAAAGCCACACACAGATTGTCATCCACGTTGCTATGGGTGGGCAGCAAAAGCTCAGAGCTCCCGTGCAAGCGCTATCACATAGAACTGTGAACATCATGACACCGAATGCTTTCTCAGCAAGTGCTCAGGTTTGTATACTTCCACCGTGCCATTTCGCAGGGCGATTGAATCGCTTGCCACTATACGTGCTAGAACTCGTTGCATCCCCCGCTTCTGATAGTGTTTGATCGAGTCTAGGAAAGCAAAATCATACTCATGCAGCGCATTCTTCCTTTGCTCCTGATTGTTAGTCTATGCCACAGTGAGCCTCACCGCGTTGGCATCAGGATGGGTTGAACTTGACCTCCTGAAGGTTTTATCTTCAAAGGGGGAAACCCGCCCGGTGTTGAGCGGTCTTAATAGCAGCGCAACCCGGTTTGCGCGCTTGAGCAACCCACGCGGCCGACGCCGAAAGGCGTGCTTTTGATGAATGGAATGGTTGCTGGCGAGTTTTGCGCTTTGCTTGTTCTTTTCCTCGCTGCAGGCTGTCGTTGTATCGTTGGCAAGTACACAGGCAGGCGTCTTTGTAGAAGCAGCGGTGCCATCTCCTGAAAACGGGGGAGGTGCGGGTGTGGAGCATCTCCTCAATCTTCCGATGAGCGTTATTTTCTGCTCGTGCAGATTACCGCGCGTTTATCTGAAAAGCGCCCGGTTCAAGAAAAAGCGCTCGGATGCGGATATCGGAAAAGAAGAATCTGTTCAGTGTGGGGGCTCTGCTACTGATGTGCAAGATTTGCAGCGGGCGCCGAACGTGGCAAAACTAGGACTTTTTGAAGTGCGCTCGTGTGGCGGGAAATTGCGCTTTTGTAGCGGGAATGTGCGCTCGTTGTGCGGCCTGGCCCGTTTCATCCAGGAAAGCTGCTGCTCGGTTCAAAACATTGACCGCATTGCGCAACGTGTTCTCCAACGGAGCCTCAATTCCTTTGCGAAGCAGCATTCCAGTTGGCTGAGTTAACGCTCGAAGACTAAATAGCGCTCGTTTGCCCAAAAAAACGCTCGCAAGCACAAAAAGCGTATCACATAGCAGCTTGAGCAGAAAATAACGGTGGAAGATACAGGCTTTTGCAAGGGGTGCTATTCGCAAAGCATGCCATCTACTTTAAAATCTCGCGAAGTCTTCTTGAAGTGGTGCGCCCTCAAAACTGCGGGGCCGGTGTCAAGGCCCACCCTGACAGGCCTGGTCGGAGGAGCTCGTGCCGCTCTCGCTCTGGGGCTGGGCACACTTGCCCCACCATGTTGCAAGCAGGTGTTTGAGCCAGTCGCGAGGGGTGGCCCTGTGAAGTTGCTGCCAGCCCTGGCAAAGTGAGGCTGATCAGATTTGGACGCCTGTTCTGTGACCAGAAAAGCAGCTACGCGGATGGGAGACATGCGAAATGTGACTCGTTGCCTCTGGGCAGCTGTTTGGGGTCAACAGTGGCAGCTTCAATCCCTGAAGCCCCGTTGAAAGCACTCGAGGTTTGTTTCGTCGTGTCAACGCCGGGTTCCATTGACGTGTTCGGCCAAGTTGGCCACCAGAAAAAGCTTGGGAGCGTTTGCGGGGGGTTTATTCCCAAGGCTGCTTTGACTATTTGCCCCTTGCTTGTGACTTTGGCCAACGCCCAAGTATGATGACGAGCTCAAAAGGCGCCCCTTGCGGCACAACGCGGAGAGGTTGAAACTTGCGTTCGTTCAACCTAGCAAGTTGGACCTTGGCAAAAAGGAATCGCCGACATACAAACACGCGCCTTACTGCGGCACCCCTTTCCTTTTCTTTGGCTTTTGCTATACAGGAACCCTAGTTTGCTTGGTTTCGGCTTGGATCAAGATTTGACTCAGTTGTTCAAAGCCGACCTTTTGACCTTTTGGATTTCCCATTTTGGTCCATACTTAGTCATGGCCCCAAAAGGTGATCACCTTTTAGTTCCAGGTCCTTTGGGCAACTGAGTTGAAAATCCCACGACAATCCGCCCGATTCCGCCGCTCAGAGTTTCAGGGGGCCCAGTGCCCTTACCAATTCGCGACGCCGCGAGTGGCGTGATTTGCATGGGTTCTTGAAGCCTCTGGGCTACCAGGTAGCTTGACCCTCGAAATACCCACCAAAGAGTGGGTTTTAGCCTGAAAGTGATGGGGTGAAATTCCCATTCTCAAGGTTGGTTCACCCAAAAAACACCAGTTCGGCATTGAATCCAACCATCCATAATTCGATATTCATGAGTGTTGGCTGTTCAGCTGCTTGGATTCGCAAAATGTCGGTGGCAGCGCCTGGCGTGGCTCTACGCGCGCTTTGCACTGGTGCGGCCGAAGGCCTGGAAGGACTCTGTGAGGGGCAGGCTGCAGCTTCTTTTTGGGCAAAGCTGAACACCCCAGAAACCGATAGCAAAGGTGACTGAAAAAAGCGATTTACAACTTGGCTATCTAGGAAGGCTTGTGCTGGGCTGCGAAAAAAAAGAAGAGGATACAAATGTTGCGACCATTTGACACATGTTGCTTTTTCAACACCAAAAGAAAGGGAGACCACCATTTACAAGGCAATGTTCAGGTGTACAGTGAGATGATCCCTGCTGAAACATCCCCGTGCCCAGAAAGGCAAACGCGAAACCAAGCGACACAAGTACGGACGCTGCTGTTGTGGCAAACACACGCGCAGACACACAGACAGACATCCACACACAAACACCCACACCCACACCCAGAACCCAGAACCACACCCACACACACACACACACACGCGCGCACGCACCCGCACCCGCACACGTGCACGCGCACGTGCGCGCCCGCTCGCCCGCATGCCCGCTCGCTCGCACACACGCACACACGCACGCATGCCACCTGCCTGCAATATGTTTGTTTGTTTCGGGGGATCCTTTTTTGTTTGTGGGTTTTTGAAGGGGACCAAACGAATAAGACCATGTTTGCGGTCCTTTGTTTTAACACATGCCCGATTGAACTTTTAGAAGGGGTTTGCCGTTGCCCTTGGCCAATCTTGCTGTTTGATGTACTTCTGCTTCACGGACGTCTTGGTCCTGATGTGGTGCCGCAAAAAAGAGTATTACATTGACTGACAGTAGCAAATGGAGAACACCTCTCATGCCAAAAAACAACCCAAATGACATCCAAATGACCAGTGATAACTTTTCCCATTTGCTAGGAAATATCATGTTTTAGTGGTTTTTTCATAGTCATCCCATGACCTTTTGATCAACCCTCTGGCCTTTGAGTCCTTGCTGAGATGTGCGATTCGCCAAGTGGCCAACACCACCTGGCTTAGAACCCAGTCACTGGGTTATCCCCAAGGAAGGAGACTGAAAAAGTGGGTTGCAGCCTGGGTTACCAAACTACGAGCCACGGGTAAGTCAAGCTTAAGGGACGATCCCCTTGCCATACATACAGTTGACAGTGTTGACACCTGTGTTTTTTTAGCATGATCAGCTCGGTGATGTCAAGCGTTCCATGGGGATTGTTGCCGAGGTGTGACTTAGGAGTGACTTCTTGGAATCGGCGTTTACATGGGGGAACACATGGTCACAGAGACAAAGGAGTGACTTAGGCATGACTTTGTCGTTTGCCTGTAGCTGCGGATCTCCGCCTTCTTGGTTCTTGAAGCATGGTTCTGGGATTACGACCATTTTTGTACCGGGCTTTGATTGTGGACTCCTATCTTGGCCAAGCAACCGCTACAAACATCTCCCGTTTAGAACCCTCGCCCCCTGGCAGGATCTCGGAGAATGCCGCGGTGTGGTCTGACTTGGCGCATTTCAAAAGGGGGCTTTCTCCATTAAAACAACAGGGCCCCCGAAAAGCATGCGTTTTTGTTTAGTTGTTTCCTTTAAGCCAAACTGAACATGGTATACTTGAATTAACATCTTCTTGCGGGGGTTTCTTTGGATTCTGGACGTTAGCCATGTGGCTATGTCACTTTTCGATGGCAAGCGCCTTCGACAGGTCTGCACCAGTTTCCATGTTTTCTCACTCGCGGCGGGTCTCACCCTGGGATTTGCAAGACCATGTCTAGGTCCCCCAGTGCCCTTTCTCACCCCGTTTTTTGTTGGGAGGGTGCTAATTACTAAAATAGACTACCCGGAAAAAGATTGGGTACCAACTTATTCTGAGCTCAGTGGACCTAGGTTAACCCGGCGGATCCAGGCGGATCCAGCATCTGTGTCCCAGAATTGGTCGAGATGGGCAGAGCCCGAGGAGCCGCGCCGAGGAAAAATCAATGGAGCTGCGCCTGCGTCACATTTGAGGTCTCAGAAAAAGAGGATTCGAATCCTCGGAGTCCCAAGCATCCGACAAACGAAAGCAGAATCTTTGGTTCATTGGCCAGTTGCTGTTTTTGGGCTGTTCGATTCGCCAAGCTAGTCACTTGTAACGGTAAACTAGATTATCACCCAAACTAATCACTTGTTTGGTTTGGAAAGCAAAACTCACAGTTTACATGGGTCAAATCCAAAGGCAACCATGCAGGTTGCGCACTATGGTAGCTGAATCCACGTGAGATGAATTAAATTACTACACAGATTAGTGCCCAAACCTGTGTGAATAGGATACCCCCCCCCCCTTCCACAAGTGTTTTCCGTTTTTCAAACCAGCCAGCAGGATCCAAAAGTATGTCAGGACTGAGTCAGGACTGTCAGAACTCCCACTGAAAAGCCCTTTTGCCAACTTTTCTTTAGGGCCCCCTTTGAACAAGGATGCAATGTTTGCTCAGACCCATGGGTTGCGGCCTTTCTGCCTTTTTGTTTCGAAGGGGTTGGCTTTAGAAAACAATTGACCAACAAGAAAAGGGTGCGCTTCCTTTTTCTTCCATGACTGCTGGGTTTCGCGAAAGGGTTGAACCCTTGGTGGTCGCTATGATGCGCTCGAGCGCGGTGTGGTTGACTGCCTCTCGACAGAAAAGCGGAGCCTTGAGAAGAAACGAAGAGACCCCGTTGCTCGAGTCTGCAGAAGGCATATGCATTTCTTTGTTGCATGTTGCTTGGATGTTAGGACTTTAACTTGTTGCCAACCAATGGGTTTTCCATTAAACCACAAAAAGTTAACCTTTTAGCAGGGCTTCGCAGAAAGCACCCGAGATTTCCTCCTAGCAAAATGCCCCAAGCATCCCCGACCTTCGCTCGGAGTCGTCGGAGCCTGTCTTGTCGGCCGCTTGGTAGGGTTTTCCATTGAAGGGCTGGGACTTGCCTTGGGCTCACGACTCTTACGGTGCCTGCTACTCGAAGAACCGACAAAAAAGTGGGGCTGGGCAGCAAAAACCCGGGTTTTGCACCTGCTACTCCTCGAAAGCCTAGGTTTTCGGTTGAAGACCTTGGTTGCTGAAACCAGTACAGGTGAGGCTTCTTCGGGGGAAGGACACCTCTCACACACAGAACAGATATCCGGATGTCTCCTATCCACCGTTTCACCATGCAGAAGTTCATTTGGATGAGCTAGAAGCCCATCATAGCTACGTTCGTCAGAACTTCTAGGCTTTTGTACCAGAATCCCTTGCATACTGGGCTTAGTGACGTTGTACAGGTTTGACGACCACAGAACAGAAGGCCTTGGTGCTGAAGCCGAAAATATTTATCTCAATGGGTCTTACCTCTCAGCTGCTCATTGGGTTGAAACCCCTTTTTTTACAGGGGTCCAAAAACAGGATACATTTTGCAACCATTTGAAACATGTTGTTTTTTCAACACCAAGATAAAGGGACACTACCATTTACAAGGCAATGTTCAGGTGTATAATGTAAGGATCCCTGTTTCCTTTCTGTGGGCAGGGTTCCGATTCCTGAAGGAAGTCAACCAACAAAAGGATGCCGAGTCTCTTTTTTTTCCCAAAATCCACTGGACATCTGAGTCCTTATCAACCACCTGCACCCTCAAACTACCCATTGAAAATTGGGAAATCAGCCAGAGTTTTGGGGTAACATTCATTTTTGAGGGTGCAGGCACATGCTTATCAGTCCTGGGGCTGGTTAGTTCACTGAGGGAAGATCTTTTGACCGAATTGGGTCGACACCTGTCAAGAAGTACTGGAAAAAGCTTTGCAGCATACCTGGACTCACAAAAAACAGGTGATTGCCCAACAACAACGGCGCAATTTCCTTTTGTTAGGGTAGATTGATGGTCCGGGTACTTAGCATCTGAAAACAGCATGGTTATGGCTATGATTTTCAACAGGGAACCACCTCACAAGCGGCGGGTGGACATAAACCCCCACCCAAATGAGGTCCACCAAAGGGTTCATTAAGATTCACTTCCTCGGTTCCCAGGGTTCCACTTGCCTTCTCCGGC